CCTTAATTCGATTCCATTGACACTGATTAGGATAATCGTCCTCTCAAATGGATGGTTCAAAGAATAATGGTTCAAACATCCGCAAAAAGGAAGGAGCATGTGATTGAAGACACACTTAGAAAGAGAGCCTTCATAAGAGCAGTTACTCAAAAACTCAAAGGTGATGCTATGAAGTCCAACGAATTAACCACTACTGAGAATTAAAGGAAAAGAAAATTCGGTTAGGTAGCTTTTGAAGTATCTGTTTATAATGTAGTTGAAGTTTGTGGAGAAGGTCCTAAAAAGTATGTGAGAGAATTTTTTGAATATAAAAATCAAAAAATGTTAAAGAAGGCTAGTAAGGGAAATATCAAAAAGAAAATATGACTTATGTGGGAAAAGTGTTGTTTCAGAGATGGGAAAGGGAAAGGATTCACAAAATAAAAGGGAGACAACAAAGAGGAAGAGATAAATCTCTTCTAATGACCAACAAACTCAAAAGGGGGATTAGTCCCATATGGAATAAAGAGGATCATACAGGAATCAAGCAAATTATCATCGGCAATTTGCGTGTACAAAGTGTTTTGGTGGCAGGGTATTCGACATGGTCATTATCCACAAACCAGGAATGTACTCCTTTCATGATCTGGTAGAAGTTCATTCTTGGATCCACCTATTTCAAACAAAGTCACTTGTTCTCTATGAGGAAGATGTTTGACAATTCTATTACAACGTAGAATTTGCAGAGGATGGCAGAATCATCTCTAGGGTCGGAGATAAGCATCTAAATTTACATGTGGACCTGCTGGGTCAAATACTTTATGTACCCAGAGGAGGAATCAAGTCTTTGGTTAAAAAACCTGCACCATGGAGTTTTTGATGGAATGTTACAAGATCCTTAATACTCGTTGTGCTGGGGTTTAAAAAAGCTCCTTAAAGAACAGTATTAGTTGTTGTTCGAGTTCGTTAACAAAGTCCTCCTTCCTCGGATTGAAAAGAGATTGTTTCCACTTAAACTTATCCATACCTCATAGAGAAACTAGGCAAATTTGAGCCCATAGATATTTTGTCTCTCATTATGGAGCACTTATGAAAAACAGTGATTGAGCGCAAGGCGAGAATGTCATGGGGTATAGCTAGTTTATCACGAAAGTGTTTCACCACCTCCACATTCCTGTGGGGATGGGTAAGATTTGCACAGCCAAACAAGATTTTACTCTGACTACTTTGATCAAATATGAGTGCATTGAAGAAAAAGGTTGTCTTCTGAGAAAGATATCTCAGTTAGTTATGGAACAAAACCATTTTAAGCATGAAATAAAGGAGATGATTGTGTTGTGAGCAACAAAGATGTTTAAATCTCTCTTGTAAAGGAAAAAATTCTCGAAGAACTAATAGAGGGACCTGAAACTGGGTTGTTAAGGAGATACAAAAGCAGAATGATGAGCTCATGGAAAAGGTTGATGCTCTTCAAATGAAGCTGATCAAGGATAATGATGCAGTAAACTCAAGTCTTGCTCTTTTTATAAACTCTCTCTCTCATCCACCTCTCTCCTCATAGTCCTTCTAGTGTCTTCTTTTTGTGTTGACAGTGTCCGAGGTTCTTAAATATAATTTTAATTTAAATGTATTGAATGTTAAATCTTGTGCTCATGAAATGGGTTCTTGTTTTGTTGTTGTTAATGTTTGTTGCCTCCTGTCTTAGTAACTATGTTGGTGTTGTTTTTGACTATCATCTTTCTTATCAATCTTAATTGTTCGGTTGGTTTACTGCACCACTTTTTTATGATTCCAAAAGGGGGAATCAATTGAGGGGTGTTCAAATGGTGCTTAGGTTGGTGATTGCAAACAAGATGTGAGCAACAGGGGGAAGGAAACAAAAAATAAATAAGGAGTGTGTCTACTCTATAGGGGAAGAAAAATGAGGCACCCACTGTAGAGTTTGTCATCATCAAAAAGAAGAAAATTTTATTTGTACTTTTTATGATTTGACAAACCTAGGGACCTTGTGAAGGGACCTATAGTCCATGGTTATATTCTATTTACTACCAGGGTAGAAAAGGTACAAGTTGGTTGGTGCAAAGATATCTACTGATGACTTGAAAAACCCACGGACCTTATAAAAGGACCATATCCTTGGTGCAACATACTCCTCACTGCCAGGATGGAAAAAGTACATTTGGTTGTTGCACAGTCTCCAACTATGGCAGAAAGGACAGAGACCTCGACCAATGGCGTGGTCTTAAAGGTTGTGACTATTCTTCATTTACCTAATGTCCAATAGTCACAACCTTAGTTTTTACACTTGAAAAAGCTCTCAATAACTCTTACAAAGGCTAATTTAAAAGTGAAGATTCATCCTCAAGATCAAACTCGAACCAAATAGAGCTCCTAGCTTAGTGTTCTTAAGATTTGTTCTTCTGAATATATATAATAAATTTGATCCTTAATATATAAAGGACTCAGATAGTTGTTTGGTACTAAATTCTAAAATATTTAAAGGTGACTCTTTTAGTCGGTAATTTTTTATCTGTCCTGGAAAATTTTAAATGATCTAGAGTTTTGTGTTTTAGTGGGTGGTGTTGTATCCGCTTAGAAAAAATTCTAGGTTATATAGGGGCGCTAGATTAGTAGGCAGTGTTGAATTTTATTAAGCTTTTGAAGTAATAGGTAGATTATTTTCTCATGAGATTAATAACTTTTTCTCACATTGGGTACAACTGGCTTCACTTTTGCTTAAGGAAGATTAATGAAACAGTTGAAAATTTTGTACAATATGTTGTGGTTTTACTCCCTTGAGCAAGGAGGTTTGCACGTAAACTATTTCTATTGTGTTATTATTATTATTTACTTTGTAATACTTGTCGGGTTCAATCAAGGGACCTGGTAGTGGATGCACGCATTCCATCAAACCCAATACCCACCCGATTCCCTCTAAGATATATCTGAATTAAAAGACCCCAATCTCCACTGGAGAACAACTTCAATTTAGGCTGTGACAATTTGTTGGGTGTGTTAAATCAAGGTGGGAATGGAATGATGAATAGTGGGTTTAATTACACAGATCATGTGAGTGAATTAAATGTTTCATTGTTAGTTTTTACTTAATTCACAATCCTTTTGAACTATGCAAAACTCAATTTTGCTTACCATAAATACACAAGTTAATCTTAACAAAAAGGAAAGGAAACAAAAAATAAATAAATGGAAGTTCAATGTTGATGATTGTGAATTGCTAAAACATGTTCAATTCGTAACAGAAAATCACAAGAATTTTCTGTGAAAAGAATTCCATACCCCATTGAACCATCCACACCAACTACTGGTATAGTTCCATTGGGTATGAATTTCTTTTTACAGAAAATTCTTGTGAATTTCAATTACGAATTTAACATGTTTTAGCAATTTACAATCATCAACACTTAGCTTCCATTTATTTATTTTTTTGTTTACTTTCCTTGTTGTTAAGATTAACTTCTGTATTTATGGTTAGCAAGATGGAGTTTTGCATAGGTCAAAAGGTTTGTGAATTAAGTATAAATTGATAGTGCAAACATTTAATTCACTCACATGGACTGTATGATGAAACCAAGCATTCATTATCACAGTCTCAGCTTGATTTAACACACCAAATCGGGTAAATATTGGGTTTATGGGCTTTAGGTGGATGCGAATTATAACATAGGGCATATACGTACCATTTATCAAAGTTCGGGGGTAAATTCGTCCTTTTTCCCTTAAATAAAATAGGAAACTAAAGGCTGCTTTCCTTTATTAAAACCTATGATTGAAATATTTATAAAATTTACAAACAAGCAATAAAAAACAATGACATGTTTAAATAAAAGGATAATGAATCAATTCAACAAACTAATTAAAGCACACACAATTTAAAGCAAAAAAAAAGGAAAACTGATTTCATTGGCTTTGAGTTTCAAAATCCTCCGGCAAACACCCAAAAAACAACATGTATATTTGTAAATAGTGCTGCAAACACAAGGTTAACCGATAATCAACTTGAGATAACTAATCCCGAGATAACTTGTGCTAAAGACTTGAGAAATAAGTTATCTCATGATCATAAACTAACTACCAACTCTTTAATTAGGTTCCAATTCAATTCATTATTCTTTCAATAAATTAAAGAAACACCCTTCTTTGATCTCATACTCATAAAGAATGGTGAAAGCCCATCTAACTTGATTGGCTATTTCCGCTTAGTCAATCTTCCTATTCGAGGGATATAACAGTGTATCATGGTTAGCTACCTTGGATTCATACTTAGCTTCAACTAATATATTTAAGTCGTGTAAACCAATGCATTATGTACAAAATATGCAGGAGTTGCAAAACGGTGTGAAGAGGTTTTTGTATTTGGTGGTGGTGATGGTGGTGTTGTTGTAGCCGGAAGCTTCTGTTAAAGTAGGCGTATAACCCTAAAACTCATTGTCACTTTGTGCTATTCTTTCTAGTGTCTTAAGTTGCTCATGTGGACGTTATGTTTCATTTGTGAAGTTGTGTTATATAGAACTGTTTATAAGAAAAAAGGATTTAATGCTTCCCTGTCGAGCTCTACCCGAATTTGTTATATGAGAATTATGGAGAAACAGAAACATGATAAAGCATGAAGGGAAAAAGACATCAGTAACATCAGTCATTCGCAATGTCACTAGGAAAATGTATATGCTGGCAAGACTAAGACATCATCATAGGAATTATCCTGTTAATTGGTGTGGTATGCTGAGAAAATGGATAAGTTACAGACCAAAAATGAAGGTGAACATAGTCTTACAGGGATTTTCACCGAATGGGTGTAACGACCGGAATCTAGACCCTAAACGAGACCGGCGTCGTTGACCTCTCAGAGATCTCATACAAGACTACTTACGTCATTCTTACTTTACATAGGTTAATATTAGTTGAGAATTTGAAACTTTTTGTTTCTTGACATACTTATAAAAACATTATCATAGATAAGTAATTGTTCACCATGAACCATCTAACATTAAGAGATAAGTAACTAAAAGAAATAGTTCAATTTTTATTAAGTGTATAATTGCCAAAATGGAACCAATACATAGTCTGAATAAAACATGAAGGAAACGCTAGCGGAACATGCTCCACTAGCTCATCTCTAAAACTACGCTAGAATATAAAACAACAGCATCCTCAAAAGTATGACGACCTACCAAAGCCTGTTGAATGTTGAACGTCCGGATAACTGCAACGATGATGTTGTAGCTCTATCGTTTACCCGTGCTTTCTCCTAAAATAGTAGAGTTTGTATAGGATTAGTACACACTCGTACTAACTATGGGTATATGCAAGCACACACCAAGGACATGCATGAGAAATAATAGCTCTTTCCTAATAACATGATTTTTTGAAGTCAAGTACGTGGACTTGCAAATTTGAGATTAGGAAGGTTCCCAAATTTGGATGAGGAATGTTCGTGAGCTTTCCAGATTTAGAATAGGAAAGTTATGCCATGAGAAAAACGTACATCATCATACTTTTTACATTTTCACACAGCACAAAACATTTAAACATAACACATATTATATAGCATACAACACATTTTGCATGTAGCACATAACTTCTTTAATATCTTTCATTCATATGTCATGAGACCTTCGAATCATGGACTTCCCATCAAGACATCCCAGAAATGAGGGCTCAACATATGGGACTTCAACTAAGGAGTCTTTGTTAGCAAAAAGAGAGTCTCCTTCATTCATTTATACTGACTCCATTTCATTTCATTCATAGGACAGTGTAAACCCCAAATATACCTAAGATGTAGTTTAAGACTTTCATTGGGTTCGTTGTGCAATGACCAAAAATGAACTAATGTCATTACTTAAATCTAACTCACTGTTTGATTATCCTCTCCTAACACCTTTGGTATCATTTATTTCATTATGTGCATCATTTGAGGCTGGCCTCATTCGTTCATTGGGAACTTTAACTTTAACTGACATAGATTATGTGAGCATCATGATATGCAGTGTCTCCCCCACACCTAAAAGAGGTGGAATCACTGGCCAAAGTGACCCATAACATGCTACCGTACATGGCAATTTAACCCTGCCAGATTTCTATATTGGTTGTATAGGTTTGAAGACTAGGATATGTAAGGAAACCCATACCCGCCAAGCAAGATAGTCTCATCGCATAAGAGTTACGTGAACCTCCGCCCTTCCCAAAAGAAGGCATCACCGGTCATAGCTAGCCTATCAGCGGTCAGTATAAAGTTCCATCTTATTCATCTCATATGTCATGGAAGGTGGCTTCTAGTATGAGGACATCATATTTCATTAGATAATTTCTCATATCATCATTAGTATTAAGGGTGTTAAATTCAATACTTTCATTTGAGTGTTCAAAGAGATTGGTCTATTTATTAACTTTACACTCTCATTAGTGAGTATATTTTGGTAACATTCACTTAGGCTCATTTGAGATTACTACCATCTTTTACATTAGCCTCATATCATGTTGTCACCACATTCATTAACATTAGCACATTTTCTCTTCATAATTACTTACCCCTTTTTACTTGAATGTTCATTTCATCATATGCCAATGCACTTGGCCATTTAGTATATTTCACACTCTTACATAACCCTTCTAGGGTTTCATCATCTCATTGATCATTTAGTCATATGTCAATGCACTTGGAAATTTAGTGTATCTTACACTCATACTTAACCCTTCTAGAGTCTCATCATTTCATTACATATATCTTAGGTTCACTTATTTTGAATCGTATTCTATACTTATGGGTCTATTCATACAAGCCATGAGACTTCATTCATAGTTCGTTAAGTGACTCATATCTTCCTAAGATTATGTAGAATAAGACTTGTGCATCTTGTAAGTAGGCCAAGATCTCGATTAGATCTAAGTAGGTGGAAATATTCTTGAACATTTAATTCACGTATGACTAATTTGTCAGTACGGAATTCAGGCAAGAGAACCCAAGTTCGAACCCCTTGGACAATACTTACACTTTTCCTTGACTTTATTTTTAGTTTTCGTGACATTGGGACCCAAGATCGAGCCCCAACATCAATATTTTATCTTTAGTTTTCTCCTTGGGTTCTCCTCTTATTTGACCGAAGGGTTGTGGGATCGAACCCCCACAACCCCTTTTATTTATGAATTTAATTTCATTTAATTCTTCTTGTCCAATTCACGGAGACCATGAGGTTGTGGGATAAACCCCCCACAGCCTCTCTTTATTTTTCTCCAATTTTTGCAGCCTACCTAAGGTCGTGGGTTCAATTCCCACACCTCACAATTCTTTTATTTTCATTTTTTTATCCATGAACATTGCTACAGCTTACTGAGGGGAGTGGGATCGATTCCCCATGACCCCATTGTCTTTTTTTTGTTTTTTTCTATCCTCCCCCTTTACTACTGATTCGATGTAGACCAAGGGGTCGTGGGATCGATCCCCCACAACCCCCTCCCTTTCCTTTTTTTTATTACTACAGGCGTGAGGGGCGTGGGATCGATTCCCCACGACCCCCTTACCTTTTATTAATTTATGCATTTGCTAAGGGGCGTAGCATAGATTCCCCACGACCCCATATATATTTTTTAAATTAATTTAGGGTCTCTTGAATCGTGGGTTCGAAACCCCACAACAACATTTTATTATTTTCTATTCTTGCGAATTTTGCCGGACCCCAGCTCAGTTCGATTCCCCCCTGTCACACCCCTTTTTAATTTATTTGTTAAGGTATGCCTTAGTGAGGTCTTGGGTTCGATCCCTGCAGACCTCACCTATTTTTTTTTCTTTTTTGACGTTAAAAATTTCCAGAATTTATGTACATCTTATCTCAAGGTTCAGGACATTTATTCAATGGTTTTATGTTTCATGATACTAGTCATTTTAGCATTTGTTTCTTAGACATTTGTTTGGGTTGTTAAGACAAGTTAGAGGAATGATTTGGTGATTTTTTTATCTACAGTTGATAGCATTTCAACCATATGAATATCACGTCTAGGAACATCTACTTACACATAAAACAAAAGTGATTCCATGTTATTAGCATGCTAAATAAAATGGATACTCCAAAGTCATAGTAACAACTTTGCAAACATACGTTCATGTCTACATTCATATTTTTGAAAGACACAAAAACATAGGCACATAATCATGAACACAGACTCGAAACGAGATCGTCACCACACACACAGTGTCCCTAAATTCTACCAGCAAACATACCAACCTAATATCAACGGGAGCTAGTGATAGGCAACATGAAAAGGGAAAACAATCCTAGTTTTGGATGAATAATATGAACCTTAAAGGGTCGCTTGGGAAAGGGACCAAGAGGGAAGAAAACCCATACCTTAATTGATGTTCAAAAGTTGAAGTTGCTGCCCAAACCTTCCTCCAAAACCACGTCCAACTCACCTAAAGTTTCACCACCAACTCGACGGAAATCTCCCTTGCCTTAACGCTTTTGATTAGCTTTCTTTCTTAGATTTTTTTCGTGATTCTTTAAGTCTGAAGAACCTTTGTCATATTTTATGTTCTTCACTTTACTTGGCAGAGAGAAAAAAATAGAGTTTGAATGTGAAAAATGTGATAGACGTGAGAGAGTGAAACGTGTGAAGTTGTTTAGGCTTAGATATTGACTTAGTCAATTTAGGACTATCCTTAATACTTAAAATCTTATATAATTAATTATACGTGAAAGGACCATTTTGTCATTAAAATTTAAGATTTTAAATAATTAATAAATCACCTTAAGTATTTATCCTATTTATTTTAAGAGTTGTTACATTATTCCCCCCCTAGGGAACATTCGTCCCCGAATGACACTACCACTACACATCATAATGCCAATTAGATAATAACATAATAAATATGCACTGTCAAGCAGTAGAAAAAAAATACTGAGAGTTAAGGAAACATAGACTTAAGAGTAGGAAATCTAACCTCAAGAGCTAAAACGATCAGGGTAGGGGGATCTTATGTCGTCCTCAGCCTCCCACGTAGCACCCTTAACAAGATGATTTCTCAGCAATACGTTCATTGTGGTAATCTCCCTGTTCCTCAGCCGCTTGATATGTCTGTCTAAGATATCAACAGGCACCTCCTCATAATACAAGTCTTCATTAACCCCCAAACCTTCCAGAGGTAGAATTGATGTTGGATCACCTAGGCACTTCCTCAACATAGAGACATTAAAGACTTGATAGATAGAAGCTAGCTCTGCAAGCAGTGCTAACTCATAAGCCACCTTACCCTCATGCTGTAGGATCTCATATAGCCCAATGTACCTCCAACTCAGCTTCTTTTTTCTATAAAATCTCATCACTCCTTTCATAGGTTATATCTTTAAGTAAACCTGGTCAGCAACCTCAAATTTTAAAGGTCGCTTTCTGTTGTCTGCATATGACTTCTGTCGGTTGTAAGTAGTAGCCAACCTGTACCTAATAAATGTAACCTTCTCTAAGGCCTCATGAATGACCTCCGTAACCAAAATGGATGATTGTTCAACCTCAAACCACCCAACTTGAGATTTACACCTCCTACCATACAGTGCTTCAAACGGTGTCATCCCAATGCTTGAGTTATAGCTATTATTATACGAGAGCTCTATCAAAGGAAGATGGTCATCCAAGCTACCTCTGAAGTCAATGACACATGCTCTCAACATGTCCTCCAAAGTCTGAATGGTGCGCTTTGCCTGCCCATCAGTATGAGAATGACAGGCAATACTAAGCTTCACCTGCGTGCCTAAGCTTCTCTGAAAATATCTCAAGAAATGTCAAGTCAACTGAGATCCTCTATCTAAAATGTTAGACAAAGGAATCCCATGCCACATCACAATCTCATCAGTATAAAGTCTCGCATAATTCTCGGCTCTGTAGGTGGAATTCACAGGGATAAAGTTAGAAGACTTAGTCAGTGTGTCCACAATAACCCATATGGAGTCATGCTGCCTTCTTCGGAAGACAAACCACGATGTCCATATTAATGACCTCCCACTTCCAAGTCAAAACCTCAATAATCTGAGTCAGACCACCAAGCTTAAGATGCTCTGCCTTAACCTGCTGACAATTAGGAAATTTAGCCAGATATTATGCAATGTCCTTCTACATGCCATCTCAACAATAAATCTGCTTAAGATCATGATATATTTTTTGTGGAACCTAGATGTATGGAATATCTGGAACCATGGGCCTCTGCCACAATTCTTGTATGCAAATCATCCACATCTGGTACACACAGCCTGTCCTGGT